ACACACATTGATCTATAGATCGATAGATCAATAGATAGATATTTTTTAAATGTTGCTGAGTCTCATTTTCTCCCCTTCATACACTATTTCTGGGAGGAAGAGTAGCCTAATATCTGCTCAGATGCAAGGAGGTCCAGCCTAGAAGCATTGGACCAATCAACACCCATGGACAGGTGTGCCTCTGCCCAGCCCAGGTGTGCGGCCCACACACCCCGACAGGTGAGCTCACCACAGAATGCCTCAACTCAGAAAAGACAGCCCCATCCATTGGTGGGTTCATTTTAGCAGAGCTGTTTGGTCCTTTAGAGAGTCATTTAATTTATTCAATGTGACCCTCTGCAAAAGGAAACCCTTCCTATCCATGGATCTAAGTATTTCTTCAAAACTGTCAGTTGCAAAAATACCAAAAAAGAAAGGGAACAGATTCAAACTACACTGAAGGTTGTTTTTCCCACTTGGTATGATGATATATACATATTGTCAAAAGGAAAATGTGTTTCAGAAAGAAGACCCTGTGGCTTGTATACTAAAATGTCCTAATAAATAGACAGACAGACAGACAGATCGATATGCCTAATTGACACTTGAGTTTCATATACTGAAATGAACTCTCCTTGTGTTGGGCAGAAAGGTTTTTTGTTTTTTTTTTTTTCTATCTGGATAAGTTGCCTTCAGTGTAAGAGTCTTGTCATTAGAAAACAATAAATTCAGTCAACAAGTTGGATGAGTGCATATTTATGTCCCCAACCATCCAAGAAGGGTTTCCAATGGAGAGGACCAATTAAAAGAGAAGGATGTGAAACTGAGGTCCTCTGCATGTTTGTTTTCCTGAGAACCTTTCTCCTTGGGGTCCAGGGATAAAAGCACAAGATTGTAAAGAGTTCTTAAAGGCACGGCTGTGTGCCAATCCACAAGGCCCTCCCGTCATTGTGCACGGGTCATCAATGAGTTTTCTGCAGATTACTAGAAAGAAAAAAGAAAAAAAAAATGAGTAAAACCTAAACTGAGAAATAAAGAGAAAAAAAAAAAAAAAAAAAAAAAAAAAACCCACATGCTGATCATCCTCTGCCCACATCTCAGATCAAAAACTAGGAGCTTGCAAACACACTCAAGTCGATTTGCTTTCACTTTTCTAAAAACACCAAGAAATCTGCCGCCTCTCCCTGAGGTAGCAATCCCAGAGTTATCACAAATCTCTGCCCTGCTGACAGGTCTGGGGAGGAAGGAGCAGGTGCCCTGGCTTCAGGGCCAACGGGGCATATGCAACAATATTCTATGAAAAATACAAAGGAGAGCCACGATTTCTCCACCCAAGAATCATCTATCCAAGCACCTTCCAGATAGCATCTGAGCCCAGCCATTATGACCGAAATGCAATTATCTTTCAACCCATATTCAAAAAAAAAAAAAAAAAAAATCATTTCTAGCTTCCAAAAAAAAAAAAAAAAAAATCCAAAAACCTCTTTTAATAATCCAGAGATTTAAAACTGATGAAGTAATTTTCCACTTGCTACAATTGGCCCTGATTATATTCTTGCATGTTGGAGAAGAGACTGTTACTTACACACACACACACACACACACACACACACAGCCTGCATTTCTTTTGAGTGACAGCACACTGAGTAGATGCGTATTTGCAGAAGCCCCTGCGAAATTCTTAGGTCCTGAATTGCAGGAGCAAGAAAAAAAAATCTTCTATTTTCTTTTCTTTTTTTTTTTTTTAATAAAGCATTCATGCAACCCTGTACGTGAGCACCCCCACAGCCCCACACGCCACCCCCGGTTCTATTCCATGCACCCGGGAAAATCTACGCTCGGGATTTAGAGGATTACTGTTAGCGTCTTCCCCGCAGCCAATTCAAGGCATGAACTAATTCTCCACTGGCCAAATCTGCCCCCACGAAAATGCAGATCTGTTCGCCATCTGATGGTCGCAGCTGGCTGTGCCAATCTCCAGGAAAACGCGATCCCGTCTCCATTCAGACCATGCGGCTCGCTCTCTCTCTCTCTGCAAGGCCCAGGAGCTGGGCTGTGTGCGTGCGTGCAGTGTGGCCCAGGGGGGTCTGCACGTCCCTCTCCCTTTCCCCCGAAGGACGCCCACCCAAATGGCTCATTGTGCTTCCTGAGGGTAACGAGGTCTCTCTAAACTTTTTTCTTTTCCCTTTTTTTTTTTTTTTTTTTTGTCTCTTGTCTCTTTGCAGTTCCCCCCCACCCCACCCCCCAAAAAAAGAAAGAAAAATCACAGTAATGGCTGATCGTTCGCGCCCTGCCCCGCGGTTGGACAACCCGGGGGCACCTCCTTCCCGGCCTCGGAACACGGTGAGCAGGGGGACCCTGTCCAAAGCCCAGGATGGACACCCCGACGACCCTTTCCGCACAACTGACCGAATGCACAAAAATAAGAAGAATGTCACATCAAATCGTCCAAAGCAGAGTCCACACCACCACCTTGTGGAGTCTGGCGGCAAGAGCAGCACCTGCCAAGTTCTCGAGCCCCCCCCCCCGGCAGCCCCCCCCCCCCCCCCCCCCCCCCCCCCCCCCCGCCCCAGGTCTTAAGTTGGGTTCAGATGACAGATGGGGATCCTCTCTCCCCGCGCACCCCGGGCTCCGCGAGCGCTGGGTATCAGTCTCCGTTGCGCGCCCGCCCGGCGCCGGCGCAGGCTGCAGAGCCGGGCGCACGGCGGGGGCCCGACCTGCCTCCGCCGCCGCCGGACCCCCAACGCGCAGCCTCCCCGGCCCCCTCCCCGGCCTTCCCGAGGACAGCAGCGCCGCCGCGGGTCCCAAAATAAATGAAAAAAGAGTCGCACACCTGCGGGGCCAGGCGTAGGAAGAGGCCGGAGGAAAAGACCGGCAGCCAAAAAATAAAAAAATAGCGTTTGGGGAAGGGAAAGAGGGGAGTCAAGGACGTCCTCGGGCGCCCCTCGCCCTGCAAACGAGGCATCCGTCCCCAGGGTGGCCCCGGCCAGGCCTCGGGGCGGGGGGTTCGGAGGGCCCCCCAGCTGCCGCCCCCGCAGAGCAGGGAAGAAAGGGCGCAGTGTCTGGCGCCGGGATCGCGCGCCCGGGCCCAGGGCTGCGCGGGGCACTGGGCCCATGGGGCCGGGGAGGGGGCGTGCGCAAAGCCGGGGGTGGGGGGCCCGGGGACCCGAGCCTACCGGATCTCGCGGAGGCCACCGAGCTGGGACCGGCTGCGGGCGGGGAGGGAGCCGAGCGGGGCTGCGCTTCGGAGGCTGGAGTGGCCCCGGGAGGGGGGGAGGCGACCGGTGTCCAACTGGAGAGGGGAGCAGCCTCCGGGTGGGGGGCGCCGCGCAGGCGGGGACCTGGGCCTCTCTTCCCACGGCGGGGCCCCCACCCCCGCATCATCTGCAGCCGAGCGACACCTCCCTCCCCCGCCTCCCGCCCCAGCCCCCGCCCGCGCTTCGGCAGGTCAGGCCCCGCGAGTGCGGGCGCAGGCTCCGCGCGCCGCGGCCTCGGCCTGGGGTGGGGGGGGAGCCTGCGGGACCCGCCTCTCCGGGTGGTCCCTCCTCGGCCCGCGCCCACCCCCCGCCGTGTCCACCAGGATCTTCGCCACCAGCAGCGGGGGCCCAGCTGCGCGGGAATTGGGGCTGGGGGGAGGCCTGGGGGGGGGGGAGGCCGGGAGGCCAGGTGGGGGCGGGGATGGGGGCGACATGAAGCACGGGACAGCGCGTTGCGACGGGGGGGGAGGGTTGTTGGTTGTGTTGTCCGAGGCCAAGGAGGGGGTCCGCCTCTGGAGACCCCCTCCCCGTCTCCGCCTTGGGGACTGGCGGATCTTGCGCCCTGCCAAGTGGTGGCGGAGCTGCTGGGTGCACACGGACGGTGGCCCCAGCTCCCTGGAGACCCCGGCGCCGACACCCTCTGCTTCCAACTTTTCTCCTCTTTCAGAGCATCTCCGCGAGGCTGCTGAGCGCGGTAGCTGCATTACCCCCCCCCCAAAAAAAAAAAAAAAAAAAAAAGAAAAGAAAAGAAGAAAAAAGGGGAGGGGGATCCAGGCCAGATTCCGGGGCTCGCAAAGAAGCCACCCCACCAGCCACCTGCCCCCAATCCCCTCGACACCCTCCCATGACTTGCTTCTCCCCGCCACCCCCGGCGCGCGCGCACCCACACCCACGGCAAGGTTTGCTCCCCGGTTTTGCAAAAAAAACCAGCGCTGAGCCACCCTGGGCTCTCCAGCCGGGGTCTCCAGCGCGCCCCGGGATGGCTGCCCAGCCAGGTCCGGATCAATCACGTGCGTTACTCCGTGCACCACACCAGCCGTCATCTTAACCGAGGCCAGCAGAGGAGAGGAGAGAGGGAGGGGGGGAGAGATGGCTTCATGCAAACCCAGCCAAGCCTGATTTTCCTGCTTCTGTCTAGTTAACCGCCCCCCCCATCCCCGAACCCCGCGCCAAAAGCACCCCAGGCGGTGGTAGCTGATAGTTTTCTTCAAGAAAGAGACAGAGAAAGGCCCGATCCGTGGTGGCTCACAGTTTGCAAGAGAAGCCTCAGCCTTCTCCTCCAGTCCTGGCTTGCAGAGAACTGGCGCTGGGCTCCGGTCCTCGCTTCTGTACTGCAGACACACACACACACACACACACGCACACTTCCCCCTCCTCTCCGCCACATGCGTGTGTTTATTTGTATGTCAGGCTTTTGCTACTTTGTAAACACATCACACAACAAACCCCCCCCCCCCCCCCAACCAGACCCCTTCCAAGAGCTGATTGCAGCAAAATGCACCCCAACAATCGTGGTCCAAAAAAAAAAAAAAAATACACATTTTCTTTTTTTTTTTCTCTCCAGTCCCCATAAAAGCCAATATTTCTATGGAGACGCTGCCCGCCTGCAGCCTTCCCATGAGAAGCTGTTCATACATGTCCACACACACCCACCCACACCTAAGGAATGGAGGGACAGAGGGGGACACACTCCTGTCCCAATTCTCCTCCCAATCCAGGAAAGGGAAGGAAACAAATAAAAATGCCCAGTTAAAGGACGCCGAGATGTCCGCAGAGAGCCTCCCCACACCACCACCACCACCACCACCTTCCTGTGGCAGGAGAAGAGACGCAAGTTGAAATGTTCCAATGCCAATCCCGACACAGAGAGAGAAAGGCTCATGACCACCGAGAGACATCTTAGAACGGCGCCTACCTGGGGCTCAGGGAGCTGCATTGGCTGATAAGGGTTCTCCTTGCACATCCAGATTTTTCCAGGGAGCAAGGCGTCTGATTCAGGAGGCGGTCGGCAGCCAGGGCAGCTGCTCCACCTGCTCATCCAAAGGAATGCGAGGGCCACGGGCAGCACCCTGGGAGGAGATTCAGTCGCTTGGGTGGTCCATCGTCCTCCTCCGTGGCCAGGGAGAAGAAAGCATCCGAGTCCAGGCAGCAGGCGGGCCGAGAGCCGGGGCTGAATCCAGACTCTGTGCTGAGAGCCAGAGATGGGCAAGAGAAGCGGCTCTGCGAGAGAAAGAGAGACTGAGCCGAGAGGTCCCGCTGTCTGCAGCCCTCTCCTCCAGCCATTGGACCAGGCTGAATGAAATTTACAAACGCCCCAGCCAATAGATGCGCGCAGTTGCCTCCATCACTAGAGAGACACAGCCACCCTGCTACAACCTCACGCAAAGAGCAGCTTAATCCCAGTGCAAACCAGCTGTGACAGAGAGAGCCCCAGCCCCGGGGTGGCAGACAGGTGGGCACAGACCAGGCACACAGCAAGCCACCCAGCAAAGCGTCCAGCCAGCCTGGGGGGGGCTACTGGGCAACCTCGAAATACCCTCTGCACTGGGCATCTTGAACTGTTTGAGGTCAGGGTCTCCGGCTGTCCTGGTGGTCACAGGGTCACTCACGGGAGCTTAACCACTGAGCCACATCCTCAGCCCCCTTTTTAAAAATCTATTCATTTATTTATTTATTTTTTAATTTTTGAGACAGGGTCTCACTAAGTTGCAAAGGGTCTTGCTAAATTGCGGAGGCTGGCCTCCAACTTGAGATCCTCCTGCCTCGGCCTCCCAAGCCTCGGGGACGACAGGCAAGTCTGGCATGCTGGTTAGTTTGAAACATGGCCCAGTTCACTTTCAAGGTCTAAAGAGTTCATCCTTTTCAGCCGATCTCCAGTTGGGAGAGAGAATAATGAATTTCAAGTCGGGTCACGGGAAATCGACGATCAATGGACACTATGTGAAGTGGGTTTAGGAGCTGTTGAAGCGGACGTTATCCGATTTGGGGTAATGAACGTAGGTGATTCAGCTGGCTTGCTGGGGTCCAAGTTGCCGATAACCTTCAAGGTGTATTTAAACTATTTCCGGCTCTCTTCCTTCCTGCATCTGCAAGTAATGAAGGGGGTGACGTGAATCTCGCAGCCAGGTGGTGATAATTAGCTGAGTGTATACTTAACAGGATGTGGCAAGTCTTAATAAAGGTCAGATAGTCTTAATTTTTTTTTTTTGACACTGCAGTAATTCATTTATAGAAGGAAAATATACAACTGCCTCTTCCCGGTTGCCTCTGCTGAGAACAGAGAATTGAAGCATCCAGTCTGCAGAAATGAATTGATATAATGGTATCATGTGGGGTGGGGGGGGGGGGGCCCTGCAAATTCGGGCAAGAGGGACTCCTGGGTCGCAGGGCCCACCATATTGTAAGGTTCGTGTCCAGGGCTCTATCCTTGCTGGGTCAGTCTCCTCGGAAAGCTGGTCACCTTCTGTGGATCTTAGGGGAAAGATCTTTACAGAGATCCCATGTGGCTCCCCTGTGGTTTGGACCTGAAATGTCCTCAGGAGGCCCCTATATTAAGGGGTTGGTTTCCACCTCGGAGCTCTTTGGAGGTGGGGCCTGGTGGGAGGAGCTTAGGTCTTTGGGGGTGTGGCCTTTGGAGAGGTCTGTAGGATCCTCTTTTTCTCTTCTGCTTCCTGGCCAGGAGGGAGGTCACCGTGGTTAGCAGCCCTGGTGGTTCTGTCCCATCACCCACTTCCAGCCACGATGAGCTCCTTCACCACAGCCTCAAAAGCAAGGGGGGCCAAGGGACTGAGACCTCAGCAATTGTGATTCATGGTGGACCTTTCCTCTTTATCAGTTGATGGTCTCAGGTAACTCATTACAGGGTCGGAAAGCTGGCTCATACAATATAAAAACCTTCTTCACCAAAAACAAGAATATAAATGCAGATACCTATCCAATAATGGAAAAACAAATAATGCACATAAATATTTATAAATATATGCCTATTACAAATGTATATGCATATATGAATACGTACAAATATCGCATATTGCTTTTCTGTATAACACAAACATGCATATTTGACTATGTACATCTATTGCATATTGCTTTTCTATTATTAGATATTTAAAGTCATCTCTCTTCTCATATTGGATAGATAGTCAAGGTACACTGACGTGGTAATGTTACATCAATAAATAAATCCATTATAAATGTATTATTATGTAAGAAGTGCGGCTTTTCCTGCAAAGCAATGACATACACAGATAACGAATACAGACCCACAGATGTAGACACTGATGTCTAAATCCTGCAGTTGAGCAGCATAACCTCAACTCAAGCAGGACGATTTATATATAATAGGCAAGAAAGTCAGTGACTTTGCAAGAATGTATTAATTCACTTACTGACTTAGAAATTCCTTCAGGACTTTGTAAACTCTTGCACAGTCTTGAGAACTGAAAATATATCTGTGATCTAATCTTTTTTTTTTCCCAATTGTTTTTGCATTCTGGTACCAAGGATTGCATCCAGGGGTGTTTAACCACCGAGCCACATGCCTGGGAACCCCTTTTTATTTTTATTTTTTTTATTTTGAGACAGGGTCTTGCTAAGTTGTGAAGGC